ATCCCATGAAAAAAAGGAGAAAAGAAGTATCTCCAAAGTTGTCTGGATACCAGCTGAATTTTGGAAAAATTATATTCGATTTTCGATTGAAGTGCAAGACTTCAACGTGAACACAAACCTCCATAAAACACTCGATTCTCAAGAAAATTGTGGCATAAAGTAATGAACTTTGGTGGCTTCCAGACGTACAAAATCTCGAAAAATGGAATATTTCGATTTTGCCAACTTTTCTTGGGGAAACGGCCATTTTATGCCATTTTTCGTGGCATCCAGACCGGACCTTAAGTGTTAAAATGAAAACTGTAAGAACACATTAATGTTTTTAGTAAAATAGAAAGGGTCGTGGATGGTCTCGACCACTGTGCAGTAAACATATACTGTACTGTTAATACTGATAGGATTTACGCTAGTAAGCTATACTGTACCAGCCCCACGAGATTAATTGTCTGTCCGAAGCCTAAAAAATGTCACATAGTTTAATCAAGATAAAAATCGCGGTCAAGATAATCTTGCATAGTTTAATCAAGATGAAAATTGAGGTCAATATAATCCAGTATACTTTAATCAAGATAATATCCAAAAACTGAACAGTCAAAATATTCCTTTGAGGGACAGATAATTCACACATTTGAATTATCTGTTAACGGGATTTTCTCAGTGCAACACTAACAGGATGAAGTCGCTACGCAAAATCGATTTGCAACAGTTGCGAATTCGCATTGGAGGCCACAATTATCAGGATTTCGTCGCGCCTTGAACGTTCTCTGTATCTGCGGTGGGGTGCGCGGCCATTCGCAGCGTAGTGGAGGTAAGCTTGCTTCTGATTATCGGGAGGGGTTGGCGTATTGCAGGGGTTTAGCGTTAGCGAACCACTGGCGATGCGCCAACCCCCGGAAAATGAAGACTGCTCTTCGACATAACTTTTGTACTTTAGGTTCTAGAGTGCCGGGGTTCCGAGGTGTCAGGCTCTTCGTGGGGCACGTCGTTGTGTATCCATAGCATTTCTTTCGAGGTATTTGATATTTAATGCGCGAAGCGCCATCCTTAATTCTTGCCAGCACACTAGCGCAGCGGCGTGTTAGTATAAACTTGGACGAACGGTCGCGACACTTGCAGTTAGATGTCGACCGTTGCATAGATCATGGGCATTTGACCGCTACGGTGGTCACACTAGTTGGTGGCATTAACTTGCGTGGCATATCCGCAACAGTCTCCAATGCACAGTAAGGTGATGGCACATTGTATCTTATCTTGGGCACTGGCTTGGGTGTTGCCTGGAAAGTAATCCAGCTCAATGGTACCTACTTTCCCGAGTTGGCGACGGAAGTGGAAGCGCAGGGCGATGTGCTTGGTGCGCTGCAGATGCGTTTGGATTTTCCCGATGTGGATTGCGCTTTGGTTTCCATGAACAGAATTGTTGGTTTCAGACTTGGCCAAGGGAGCTCTGAGAGATGTGTCCGCAAGAAACAACCTAGCTGTACGGCCAAACATGCAGCGACGTATTCTGCTTGGGCAGTGCTGACTATCACGATTGCCTGCAACTTGCTGTGCCACGAAATGTCGCCACCGGCCAACATCCATGCGTAACCACAGGTTGAGCAGCCGGAGTTGCGGCTGTCGTGTCAGCTGGAATAGGAGAAGCTGACGAGTTCCAAGCAAGCTGGTTGAGTATGAAAGTAACATATCTTGATTTGATTAAAACTAGACATGCGGCGTTGAAGTGTCCAGGCACCAACGACGACCCGGCGGACTGCGAACAACGAACACGGCGCATCCACGCAGGAACAGAAGTCAGATGGTGTCAGCGAAGAATGCAACCTGGCCGACATCGATGACCCAGAGCCGGCCAACTTCTGGGAGGGCATGAAGACTGACGAGTCAGGTGAGTGGCTGACGGCATGCAAGGTTGAATGGACAACCTTCGCCGCATGAATTCTTTCAAGCCAGCCATGATCCCCAACGACCGCCAAGCGTTGGAGACAAAGTGGGGCTTCAAATGCAAAGAAGTTTCGGCCACCAAATTCAAGTACAAGGGAGGCTCGATCGTTGTTCAAGGCTTCCGCCAACGCCCGGGCATCGACTTCCAAGACACGTACTCCCTTTCGACGCCGTGCGCGTCGTCCTCTCGTTAGCTACACAGTTCGATCTCAGGTCTATCACGGGGACGCGACCAACGCATACATCCACGCCAATCTAGACGACAGATCCAGATTTACGTGAAACAGCCCGACGGATTCGACGACGCCCCCCCAAGCCCTCCTCTTCATAAGGCGCCCCACGGACTCAAACTTGAATTGCATGGTATGTGCACTTGACCGATCTGCCCATCAAGATCGGGTTCGTGCCCCCGACCCTGTCCGACCCGTGCGTTCTCACGCGCAATCACGACTACAAAACCCAGATCGTCTCCGTCGACGTCATCCTCGATGTGTGTGCCAAAAGAAGCCAAGAAATACAACACGCATAATTGAATCACTCGGCGAAGCCATAGAGATCAACGACCTTGGTCCCGTCAAGCGAATCCTCGGCATTGATGTGACCCGCGATCAGATACAAGGCACCACGACGATATCTCAAGAGTCCTACATCGACAAGATGGGATCAGCTCACGGGTATGCGCCCCGTCGATATCCCCATATCACTCGGCACTGACATTGACAAGATGCCACTCCGTTGTTCAGTAACAAGGAGTACCAAGCGATCTGTATTATTCCGTCAAGATGCGGTCAGACGTCACCTACACCATCGGCTAGCTCACGCTACACCTCGGCTCTAGCTCAAATGCGTGGGTCCATACCGGTTGTGATGGCCGTGAATTAGACAGGTAGGTGTGGAAAGCCTTGTATGACGCAGGTTGGCGTCATCATGCGGAAAGCCAGCATGAAGGAAAGGACCTCTCGGGAAGCGGGCACTGCCAGAAGCCCTTGGTAAGGTCGAACACCCCAAGGAATTGGGTGCCCTTGACGGATTCCAACACCATGAACTGGAAGGGCATGTCACTGGCCATTGGAATGGTCATCCTGTTCACCACGCGGTAGTCGATGGTGAGGCGGTAGTACCATGAACTGGAAGGGCATATCACTGGCCATTTGAATGGTCATCCTGTTCACCACGCGGTAGTCGATGGTGAGGTGGTAGTGTAGGAGCAGTTCTTCTGTCGTCTATTCACCGCTTGTCTTGAGCAGCTTCTTGCCGCTTGGTTTCATCACCGGGTTGACTGGACTACAGTATGCACTCGAAGAGTTGGAATAGATAATGCAATCTTCTTCAAGCTGGTTTCCAAATGCATCCAGGAACTTCGTCTCTAAAAGACTGGTCTTGCGGGCCGGGTGCGGCTGGGCATCGGCCTTAGCTTGATGTCCATGTTTGATACGTTCGCTGATTGTTCCACGGAATTGTGCGCGCCAAACGCCCTTGGCTGAGACCTGCGTGACGATTTCCTTGACCTTGCGGGTCTTGACGTGTTTGATCTTGAGCGTTTCAAACGCTTTTTCCAACAGTGACGCTGTGGCTTCTTCATCGAGTTTCTCGAGGTCTTGTTCACCATTTGCAAACGGCGAGTCGCCACCCCGAAGGCAATTGACTTCGTCTTCGTCGGGTTCACCCACGTCATCACCGTCTTCATGACTTTGGTCTTGAGCCACTTGTTCCAACAAGTGGTTGATGTTGATCCCAGTGGACTGCAACGCATAGCGCGAGACGGGAAATGAGTCGCTGCGGCTGATTACGTAGCATAGTTGCACACCGGGTAGGTTGACAGGTCCAGCTGCAGTGCTCAGACGGATTCGCAGGTTCGCCGCCACGTCTGTATACATCGGCTGTTCATCCACGGCGTAACCTTTCCAGGTCTTCACCAGTTGAACCACGTCGTCTTCAGTCTTCGTCTTCAATGCTTCCAGCATTTCTTCTGAAATGATGTTCGCATCATTTCCAGAGTCGGTATAAAACGGTACTTCCAGTACGCCGTTGAGGGTTGCCATGTTCACGGCATCGTCGGGCATGTAGGTGCGGTAGAACTTCTTGCCGAGCTTCTTCCGCACCTGCGCTATTTTCTTCGCGTACTTCTGGAACGGTTACGCAGGTATTCCAACCCCACACCCATTTGACGCGGTCGATGCCATCTCGGTCGAAATCGGTGCGGTCCTTGAAGTGATGCAGGCGTTCAAAGCAGGCACTGCACCGGGTGTGCGGTCGACCGTCCAGGATGAGTAGCTCGGTCATCCAATGGTAGTACTATTTGATTGCAAACTCGGTTCGGATTCCATCGCACAATACGTTGTTGGTAAGGCGGATGGCCAGGCATGATCTCCATTCGCCGCCGTAGTCCACCCACATCATGCTGGTGTGGTGCTTCGTTGACCTCGTCTAAGGCGTTACATGGTGCCTGTGCGTAATGTAGGCGCTACTGCATGTCGTCGTTCTCCTACCTCGTGCACGTACATGAAACGTTACGCGTAAGGAGGTAGGCGAGCCATACTATGTAGTAAATTCCATATTATATCACATCGACGCCGAGGTGAAACCCTTAAGGCATAACTTCGAGTAGAATTCGAAAGAGAAAGCGTCTTGAAGTGCAGACAGCTCGCCTTGCGTAGCTTTGACACGATGGCTGTAGCCATGCCAGTTTGCGAAGTTGAGGCACCACTGAATCAGGCTCTTGTATGCTCGATCGTTCGATGGCTTGGCTGCAGTGTACTCCTCCAGCAACTGAGGGTTGTACGACTTGATCCACGGCACGAGGTGCGCAGTCGTGAGGAAATGCTCCCCGTCTCGAACCGCTTCCATGAATGCCACCAGATTGCCAGCGAAGGGGATTTGTTCGATGCGTCCTTGACCAGCGAATGTTGCTCGAGACCCATGGTTGTTTGTACCGAGGTACGTCGACGCCGGAATGTTGTACGTCCTGGCGAATTCGCAGTCACTGGCGCATGGTCCAAGGAGGGCTTGTGTTCGGAGAAATACACGAATCTGCAGGACACAGTACCGACGGTGGTGGCGCCTTGCGATGGGCTGAACTGATGGCATTGTTGTCGAAACTGCAAATGCGGTGTTGTTGGTTTGAAAGTGGGCATATTTTGAATCAACCAATAGAAATCAATTATTTGATGTTTAAACTGACCAATCACGACGCTGATTCTTACTTTACTCCTATTGGTTAAATTCATTTGAATTATTACAAGGATGAATTTATAGAAATATGCGAGGTACGACTTTGGCCCAGTTCCGTCAGTTAACTGTAAGTTGACTTGCTACCAGCAGCAGCCCACTGGGGTGATACTGTAATAATCAGGTCAGGTTTACAGTGCGAGAGCATCTTGGGGGCTCTGATAATTCTTGAAAATCAATAATTATTTTACAGGGGCAAAAATACAATGCCAACATGAATAAAGCTCCACCTGTGATATACCCCAGTATATTACATTATACAAGTATTCGACAACACGAGGTAGTTTATGCTACTCATCGCTGTCGCAACCACTCATGCTGTCACACACGCTTGACGACAAAGTGTCGACATCAGAGGATGCGTCACTCTCACTTTCCTCGCGACCTCGTCTGCTGCCCCCGCTTCGGCGACACGGAGAGCACGATCGAGCTTGAGGAGCTTCGCTGTGACTCGATTGTGTTGTGGATTACGTCTGTGTCCAACTCATAGAACGCCTTCTCCAGGAGATCTCGTACATCTTGAAATGTGGTTGTCGAAATGTACGCACGTCCAACGGTGCCCTTGCGTTTGCCCGCAACAATTCAATTGGTTGCAGCTCGGGGAACCCGGGGCAGAGTACACAACATGATGGCCCCGGGTCTGTACCATGGCGACAACGACAGGCAGGACATGTTCGTCCAAGGGCTTCTTCAGTGCCTTCCAGATCGTCGTCTTGAGATCGGTAGGGTGACATTGGGACACTGCGGTCAAGACAAGCCTGGTACAGATCAGCCTTCTTCCATGACCCCTTCGGTGTTGATTTCGGCTTGCCCTTGTGGTATTTTGCATTATCCATGACGAACACGGCCGACGACCACCCCAGCTCTTCAACTTCATCCAGGAGCTTGCCAAACCAGTCGACAAAGTAGTCGTGGTTGGACATTGCATGGTAGTCCTTGACAATCTTGCCGCTCTTCTTGCCACCCACAAAGATGTCAAGGCCCAAAAGATGCGCTACGTCCGATCCATCGTCCAGAATACCGGCAATACAGCAGTATCGCCGGCCATTGTGCTTCGGCTTTGTCATGGGATCGTCGGTATGGTACTGGCTGTCCGCATGGCTCGAGTAGTGGTGATGGACAAAGCTTTCGTCCAGGTAGACTAAAGGGCGACGGGGGGACATCGTCACTGTGGGGACCATCATGCTCACGTACGCGTCACGGGCGTCCTCATGCGCCTTGCTCATACGATACTCGGTGGCACCCACACGCTTCCCCCTCGCATATCCTTGCTTGGCAAGGTACGACTGCACTGCGCGAAAGCAGGACTAATAGCTTTTCTTGTAGCTAGCATCGACCGACACGGCCTTGTGTTCTTGGAGAAGGGCTAACACGTCCTTCCCGACCGTCCGGGTGTGGGCCACCGAGCGGTCACAGATGAATGTCCTCACGAGATCACGGACAGCACGAGTGTACAGTCTTTTTCGCTCGATCTAGAAGCCGAACAATGGCTCCAGTGACATCCAGGTTGCCTTGCTCGCGGAGAGTCGCTTCGAGCCAAAGTATGTCCAACTTCTCATCGTACGACAAGCTGCTCCTACAGCGCAACTTGACGAACTGTTTGATTCGAGTTGTGATGGAAGCATCCATTGCGTTGACATCGGATTCGGTTGTGGCGCCGTAAGTTCGAAAATTATTTCATCGAAATCCGTTACGAAATGAAGGAATGAGACCAAAAAGAGTGCAATTTGGTATATTTTTGTAGGGGTTCTCGTTTTAGGCGCATGCGCCAGAGGCGCATGGTCCGGTTAAGCGTTATCCGGTCATGCATCCTTGTTTGAGGTTATTGTCAAAAATAGGATACAAAGTTTATACAGCTATCCGGATACCGAATGATTATACGGATGAATGGGTTGAATGGTCCGCACACGCTTTCGACGAATTTGCGATGCTCACATTCAAAACAAGGCAGCGAGATGAGCAGCGAACACACACTGGATGACCAGGATGGGGTTGACGAAGCCACCAGACCCAATGCAACCACAGAGAGCACCGTGTCGATGTTCGGTGGCTTGCTCGTTATGCACCATAACTTCATCGACGCAAATGAATTCATCACGAGTGTCCAGGCGTGGGCACGCGCCCAAGGGTTCACAGTCTCCCGGACGGGAAAGAATTTCTCCGACAAAAACCCCCACCCCGTACACGGCGGACGAGGTTCAATCATGTGGCGCTCTACGCTATACTGCACGCACAAGGAAGAGGTGTGCAGTGGCAGGTCGACGTGCCAGTGGCACATCAAGTTCAGTTTTGACAAGGCCAATCTGAATTATCCATTACGTCCATAGGTTAGTCATTTAACTTTAATGTAATTGTTATCTAAACTACTTTTTCATGTCAGGTTTGTCGCACAACCACAGTATTGCAGGAATGCATGTAGTTGGACATGGTGTGCAACTGTTGTCGCTTGAAAAACAATTGGAGCCGGGTGAAATCGACAGAGTAGTTGGACTTGGCCGTTTCAACTTGCCCGTGTCGAAAGTGCGTGAGATTATGGAAGCGTTGTATCCGGGCCGGATGTATTGCCCTAGGTTGCTGTCTCGCTTAAAGGACAGAGGGCATGTATTGCATCTTGGTCCTGATGTTGATAGTATGGGATGATTTTTTGAAATGGGATATGCCATGCAAGCCACCGGAGGTGTGTTCCATTTCAACCTAACGTCAGCATTGCAGTTAAAGAGCATTGTCATGCAGGTATTATTTATATGTATTATTTTTCATTACTATATATATGCTAATTTCGCCAACATAGAAACCCCAAATGATCAAGTACGCATCATCGTACGGCGACTTTGTGTTGTGTGATGGGACACACAACGTGTCCATGTATGTGCTGAAACTGATGCCATTCACGGTTGTCGATTGTCTTGGACGAAATGTCCTTTGTGGGGTAGCGTTAGATGAGTCTGAAAACTCCGAGGTACGATATATTTTGTATTTAATAAATTTAAGAAAATACATCATGTAGTCTGTCAAACTGGGGCTCGAGCTGTGTCAGTTGCATGCAGCGGGGTCTACCTTGATGACTGATGGCGGCAGTGCATACCCAGGTAATTGATATAGTCATATATTGTGCACGATGCACAACACATAACTCCTATTGATTTTAACGGTGGTGAAAATGTATATGAAATAGGGGTTGCGTCGGACTTGGGCATGGTGCACATTTTGTGCACTAAGCACTTCGAGGATGTCATCCTCAAAGGTTGCACAGGTCTTGGTGCACTGGCAAAGTCATTCAAGGCGGATTGCACGTCGCTACTGTACACGACGATGTCCGAAGTTGAGTTCCAAACTCGCTTTGATGTGGCGGAAGCAAAGTATGGTGTAGCCAAGGAGCCGGCCAAGGCATTGCTCAGTATATCTCGCCACAAAGAAAAGGTGTGCCGTGCCTTCACAGGTTGTAATGTCCATCAAATAATGTCCATCGAATAATATTTATCTATCACAATGCTTCATTTATCGATCTTAATGCTTAATTACACACCATAACATAAATGGCAGGAAGCGTCTTCACATGCAGCAGCCTAGCCACGCAGCGCGGTGAAAGCATGAACTCTGTCATCAAAGAGAATGGTAATATCCTTTGTACTATAGTGTGTGATAGTTTCATAGGTTTCAAGAAAAAAGAGCTGCGTCGCTTCAACCTTCTCCAGTTGGCCGAGCACTTATGGAGCATATTTCAACGACAAGAAATCAAGGCATGCGACGAATTGGTCACCCTTTTGGTGGCAAAGCGGCGCTGGTCGAACTACGTCGACGGCCTATGGCGAGCGAATGTGCTGAAGGCAGAGACGTTGCCTCATGTCACCGAGGTTGGCGGGATTTGGTATGTGTCGGGTTCGCACTTCGACGATGTGGCGGATGCAGCGCATCGTATTGTACTTGGCCAGGAAGGTGGACATCCGAGCTGTGATTGCTATGCGTTCAAGAGTAGCAAGATTCCATGTGCCGGAATCTGTCAGGTATGCCAATTATTTAATAATTTAGTATTAAAAATATATATTAAGGTGTTTTGTCGAATTGATGCCCCCTTATTGTGCCTGGCCAACCTCCATCCACGATGGCGCCTTGAAAGCCACCCGATGTATTCAAGTGCATTATGTCGGCTCAACATCAACGATCCAGCGGCTCGAACAAGTGACGCCGCGAATTCTGTACTAAATTCAACCTCCAACACCCCCGCAATTGCTCGCGGCGTCTCAATGCAGAGTTACGAAAAAGTAAAAGTGCCGGCGACCACAGGTGAACGAATCATGAAAATTCGTGATATGTGTACTCGCATAGAAAATGCAGTGGCGAGTACCCCACACACGTACCGCCTATTTATGGCTAATTTGTCAACATGGGTCGATGGCTTCCGTCAATCTGGCTACTCTGGAGGGTTGGAGCCATTCACGATGCCCCAGTACACTTCCCCGCCAGAGCTAATTGACGTGGTTGACGAAACGCGTCAGGCCGCAGCTAATGCTGTTCGAGGAGTTGCCCCCCCCCAAAAATCGTCGGAAAAGAGCAAGTCATGCGCGAACAAGTCAGTTTTGTCGTACCGAACTGGCCATCCTCGGAAGCGCAAACGTACGGTCTCGGCTCCAAGTAGTGCGACCCAAGAAGCAAGGCCACCTTCTGAGAGTTCAGTCTCGTCGCGCGGCCGTTTGCAGAGAGCTAAGCAGTTTGACAACTTTGTCGTGTAAAGCTAAATAAAGCTATGTTTTCCGAAGTTTTCTGAAGTTTTCCTAAGTTTTCTGAAGTTTTCTGAAGTTATCTGACGTTATCTGAAGTTTTCTGAAGTTTTCGGAAGTTTTCTGAAGTTTTCCTAAGTTTTCTTAATTGTACTGTAGTTTTCCTAAGTTTTCTGAATTGTACTGAAGTTTTCCTAAGTTTTCTGAAGTTTGCTGAAGTTTTACTAAGTTTTCTGAAATTTTCCTAAGTTTTCTGAAATTTTCCTAAGTTTTCTGAAATTTTCCTAAGTTTTCGGAAGTTTTCCTAAGTTTTCGGAAGTTTTCCTAAGGTTTCGGAAGTTTTCCTCAGTTTTCCTCAGTTTTTTTAAGTTTTCTGAAGTTTTCTGAAGTTTGCAAGTTTTTGTCAGTACTTCATTGTATTCTGCACTTTACTTTTACCAATCTAAAGTCCGAAAATTATCACAACTGTCT